TAACTACTATGAACAGTTATATGGAAACAAGTTCAACAATCTAGAGAGAGATGGACAAATTCCTACAACTCTATAATCACCCAAAGCTAGATAAAGAAGAAATAGAACACCTAAACAGACCAATTACAAGCAGCGAAATTGAAATGGTAATCAAAAACCTTCCCAAAAACAAAAGCCCAGGACCTGATGGATTTACAAATGAATTCTACCAAACATTCAGAGACGAATTAGTGCCTATCCTTCACAATTTTTTCCAAAAAATTGAGAAGGAAGGGACAATACAAAACATGTTCTATGAAGCCAACATTAAACTAATACCAAAATTGAATAAGGACAACACAAAAATGGAAAACTACAGGCCAATCTCCCTAATGAACACTGATGCAAAAATCCTCAATAAAATTTTAGCTATCAGAATCCAACAATGTATCCATAAGATAATTCACCACGACCAAGTAGGATTCATTCCAGGGACACAAGGATGATTTAACATCTGAAAATCAATCAACATTATGCAACACATCAACAAAAAGAAATATAAAAACCATATGATAATATCAATAGATGCTGAGAAAGCTTTCGACAAAGTGCAACACCCATTCATGATAAAAGCCCTTGAAATTCTTGGGATACAAGGAACATACCTCAACATCATAAAGGCCATCTATGACAAGCCAACAGCCAGTATCATCCTCAATGGTGAAAAGCTGAAAGCAATTCCATTAAGATCTGGAACAAGACAAGGATGTCCACTCTCACCACTGCTTTTCAATATAATACTGGAAGTCCTAGCCAGAGCAATAAGACAAGAGAAAGACATACAAGGAATCCAAATAGGAAAAGAACAGTCAAACTATCACTATTTGCAGATGATATGATAATATACATAGAGAACCCCAAAAACTCCACAGAAAAACTAATTCAACTCATCAATCAATTAAGTAAAGTGGCAGGATACAAAATGAACACGCAAAAGTCAGTAGCATTCCTATACACAAACAATAAATCTGAAGAAGAAATAAAAAAAAAACATCCCTTTTATTATCGAAACAAAAAAAAATCAAATACTTAGGAATAAATCTAACAAAAGAGGTAAAGGACCTATACAAAGAAAACTATAAAACACTGTTAAAAGAAATAGAAGAAGACACAAAGAAATGGAAAGACATCCCCTGCTCATGGATTGGAAGAATAAACATTATTAAAATGGCCATCCTACCAAAAGCAATATACAGATTCAATGCTATCCAATCAAAATTTCAATGTCATTCTTCAAAGAAAAAGAACAATTATTGCTGAAATTCATATGGAATCACCAAAAACCCCGAATAGCCAAAGCTCTACTGAAAAAAAAGAAGGAAATGGAGGCATCACACTCCCAGACTTCAAACTATACTACAAAGCCATAATCATCAAACTGCATGGTATTGGAACAAGAACAGACATACAGACCAATGGAATCGAATAGAAAATCCAGAAATAAACCCACAGATCTATGGTCAACTAATCTTTGACAAAGGAGCAAAGACTATGCATCGGAACAAAGAAAGTTTGTTCAATAAATGGTGCTGGGAAAACTGGGTCGCTACATGCAAAAGAATGAAGCTTGACCACTACCTCACACCATAAATCAAAAATCAACTCAAAATGGATTAAAGAACTAGACATAAGACCTGAAACCATAAAATACATAGAAGGAAATATAGGCGAAACACTACGTGATTTGCATATCAAAGACATCTTTACAGACACATCACCCAAAGCAGTGATAGTGAAGGCAAAGATAAACAGCTGGGACTACATCAAATTAAAGAGCTTCTGCACAGCAAAAGAGACAATAACAAAAACAAAGAGAAACCCCACCAACTGGGAGAACATTTTTGCACACAACACTAATGATAAAGGACTGATCACAGAAATCTGCAAAGAGCTGATGAGACTCAGCAACAACAAAGAAAATAACCAGTCAAAAAATGGCAGAAGAGCTAAAAAGAAACTTCTCTGAAGAGGAAATGCAAATGGCCAACAGACATATGAAAAAATGTTCAACATCACTTGTAATCAGGGAAATGCAAATCAAAACTACCATGAGATACCATCTTACACCAGTGAGAATGGCACATATTAAAAAAAACGAGCAACAACAAATGTTGGCGTGGGTGTGGAGAAAAAGGAACTCTCCTGCACTGTTGGTGGGAGTGCAAACTGGTCCAACACTATGGAGAGCTGTGTGGAGATTTCTAGACCTACTAAACATAGAGCTTCCATATGATCCAGCAATTCCACTCCTAGGTATTTACCCAAAGGACACAGAAACATCAATTCCAAAGAACACCTGCACCCCTATGTTTATAGCAGCACTATTTACAATAGCTAAGCTTTGGAAAACAGCCCAAATGCCCAAAAATAGATGACTGGATCAAGAAGATGTGGTACATATACACCATGGAATATTACTCAGCATTCAAAAAAGTTAAACACATGCAATTTGCAGCAACATGGATGGCGCTGGAAGGGATCATGCTCAGTGAAATAAGCCAAAAAGAAAAATAAAAATACCAGATGGTCTCACTCATAGCAGGAATCTAGAAAACTTAAATAAGGGACCAGGAAAATGAATAACTATAAGAAAGTGAAAATCAAAATCAACAAAAAACTATGAACCAGAGACACTTTTTGGGGGGTGGGGGCCGGGAGGGGTGGAAATGTGGTCAGAATGGGGCATTTGCAATTGTATGGGGGAATATAAAAATAAAATTTATTATTTTTTTTTTTAAAAAAAGAAACATTCTCTGGTCACAAAAACTGAAGATTGTGATTGATCTGAATAACTGACTTGTTATATCAAGAATGTGGAATTGGGCCTCCCCTGGTGGTGCAGGCAGTTGAGCGCAGGGCTCTGAAGCTCTCTGCAGCTTCTGCAGTGCCAGTTTGATCCCGGCCAGACAGCAAGGGTCCCACATGGTGCAGCAGACCTCTCCTGTCACGCCCACTGCTCCACTCAGTGGTGTATTTCGTCAGTCTGCCTCCTCTGTTCCCTGTTCTGTCTCTGGTGAATCCACTTACCCTCCCGCCCATCTGGCCTGTACCCCAGTTCTTGTATAAATAGATAAATACATCTTTTTAAAAAAAGAACTTGGAATTATATAGCCATTGAAGTTTTTCTCTTTTTGTGTACTCTGTTCTTTTTATCTTGTTACTGTCCTATCATTTCCCCTCTGTTAGTCTCACTTTTTCTTACTTCTACTCTAGAATATAGGAAGAGATAAAGAACTTTTTTTTTCTGACCAGTATCAGATAGTTAATATTTTGTTTTCAAAAGATTTATTTTTCATGCATACAAGAGCTGGGGTGTAGGCCAGAGGTTTGGGAGGTAAGAGGATTCACCAGAAACAGAGTGGGGAGCAGAACAGGCAGATCTACTGAAATACACTAATAAGGGGATCAGCGGGTGAAACAAGAGAGGTCTGCTTCACCATATGTGGATTAGCTCCCTGGCTAGGGATCAAACTTGTGCTGCAGTGGCTGCCAAAGCTTCGTAGTGCTGAGACTTAACCCCTTGAGCCATCAGGGAGGCCCCTAATATTTTGGTTTTGCAGATAATAAGGTCTCTGCTGGCACTAACTTCTGTTGTTATAGCATGAAAGCAATCCTAGCTAATATGAATGAAGGACTGTGTTTCTGTTTGCAGACACAGAAATTTGAATTTTTTTTTTTTTTTATTTAAGAATATGATTTTTCTTCAAATTGATTTTTTTAAATAAATGAACAAATTGTCCCCCACATCTCTTCCTGATAAAGAACTGGGGAAGAGGCTCCCAAGGTTTCTGGTACTTTTCCATAATCAATGTCAGCCATGACTTCTCGCCAATTTCCATGTCATGATATATTAATTTTCTTTTCAATGTTTTCAGTCATTTAAGGCATAGTTTGTTAAGCCCTGATATACAGACAGGGACCTTATACACTCATGTCCTCAGCGTCTAGAATAGGAGCAGACACACACTAAGTAGTCAATAAATACTTGCTAAAAGAATTATACCTACTATTCTTATGTTCGTAAGTTTTTCTATATTGTGAAATGACTTAAATTCTTTTTGGAACAGGGCAGGATATAAAACATAGGGCACACTTTTAGAAGGTCATCTAGCTGGAAATAAAAGAACCGAGATTTGGGTTTAAGCCTTTATTATATCAAACTACATTTTATTTACATTATACCATACTGTCTTTATAGAACTCTATCTCCATGCCACAAAATCCTCTCCAGATTAGCCCCAACCTCCAAACATGAGCCTCCACATGTAGTAGCCAATTAAGCTTGCAGAAGTCAGACACATCTTGAATTTGTAACCATTTTAAAAGTTCAAGAGTTTTGCTCATTATGTCCTTTTGTCCCTTTTTCTACTAAACTAGAAAGTGAGAATGAGAAAACAATAATTCACAAATTCAAATCTTTTTATGGGATGGTAACATGATAGTTCTGCCTAATTTCAAAGAACACAGGATTTAGTGCCTGTTCAACTTGATAAGATCCCAACTCTCCCATTACTAATTGTGAACCTTTGGAAAGTTACTTACCTCTAGGAGTTTCAGTTTACTAGTAGGAAAAAAAGCAGTAATACATTCTTCACAATAGAATTACATGGGATAGTTACTATGAGAAATAGTATATAAGTACCTGGTACAGTGCCAGGCACATAGCAGATACTTAGTAAATGGAAACAGCAACAACAATAATAAGATTAATAAATAGCATCATTGTTATTTATTCCAAAAATGAATACCTACTATGTAAATAAAAGAGACCAAAATTCCTACCCTCATAGCGCTTATATTCTAGCTAGTTTTGTGAATGCTTTTTATGTCCTCTCTCACCATTCCAGTTTTAGTGATACTAAATTGGAATAGATATGAAAGTTTCTCGAACCTCAGAAAGATCTTAAGGAGAAAAGTAGTTGGGTTGAGTTCTAATTTCCATGGGATTCCCAAGCACTTACCTTCCTTTTGGTGAGCCAAAGGCCGTGGAGCTGGCCTCTTTATGTGGAAAGAGGGAGCCTTGGTGGGCCCAGAGCCTGGAACAGGTCCATTGGTGGCCTTTGGTATAGATTTGGTCCCTCCATCCTGCAGCTTAGACATCAACTTTCCCACATCCACCTCAGGGCAGGACTCTAGTTTGCCATCTGAAACAGGCCTACTTGGGGACTTCCTCCCAGCATCAGCTTCCCCACTCCTCTGAATAGACAATTTGGGGTACTGTGGTGGCTTAGGGGTTTCTATACTGCTGGTGATAGTACCATTGGGTGTTTGATGTTGAATTTCATCTAGGAAAATTTGGAGCAAAGAGAGAAAATTAATGCTAGCTTTTATCATATTTTATTTTATACATGCATACTTAATACTGAACATTTGCACACAATTTCAAAGGAGCTATTACTGTGGAAGAGAGCAATGATATCCACAAAATCTATTTGCACCTACCCCAATACATGTAGAGTCACACATCCCATCAAAATAGGGAATTCAAGTTAAGATTTGAGTAAGTGGCCCTTGAAAGCTTACCATAGATTTGATGAATCCAGAAGGGGAGGGAGAGAGGTAAGGGATAGGGAAGAAGGAAGAGGGAACAAGGGAGAGGGGAGAACATAATGGACCATGGTGATGGAAGACTATGGGTGCTTTGGTGGTGGGAGAAATATGGTGACCACACCAGAGGGGAGAAATCCTATATTCTGAAAAAAAAATTAACAAGGAAGTAAAATAATGGTACTTCATTAAAAAATAAGTAAAATTAAAAAAAAATAATTCAGCAACTAAATAAAAAAGAGATCTGAGTATGATTTCCATCACTACAACTTAGTAAAACCACGATACACCAAAATACAATCCAAAAGGTACTTAGAGTCTCCAGTCAACTGTATATTCTAATATTTTTATGTAATAACATCAGTTAATTCCTAACTATTTCTCTCGAAGTAATTTGCTAAGGTCTCTTAAATTTCAGGTCAATAAATTTATCAGAATTTAGCATATGTCTCTATTCTCATAAATTAATGCCCAGTTAGGTAATTTATGTCTTTCCTCTAGCATAATAGTGTTCTAAAATTTCTCCTGATAACAGCACATTTCTCAGTTGTTCTGAGTCTTACTTAAAGCTTTGAGACCTTAATGAGATCAAGGGATATGCTACTTAGAAAAATTAACCTACATGAATACACTCAAATTTTTGAAAACTAATATTAAAAGATTCGTGGTGCTTTTGAGATTGTTAATGAACCCCATATTGGGTATCTCTACTGTATGGAGATTGTCACCTTCCTCAGTAATAGAAGACGTAGATCATAAAAGTAGTGGTTAAGAATATAAGTTGTTGGGTCGCTACATGCAAAAGAATGAAGCTAGACCACTACCTCACACCATACACAAAAATTAACTCAAAATGGATTAAAGAACGAGACATAAGACCAGAAACCATAAAATACATAGAAGAAAATATAGGCAAAACACTACGTGATATGCACATCAAAGGCATCTTTACAGACACATCACCCAAAGCAGTGATAGTGAAGGCAAAGATAAACATCTGGGACTACATCAAATTAAAGAGCTTCTGCACAGCAAAAGAGACAATAACAAAAACAAAGAGAAACCCCACCAACTGGGAGAACATTTTTGCACACAACACTAATGATAAAGGACTGATCACAGAAATCTGCAAAGAGCTGATGAGACTCAACACAAACAAAGAAAATAATCCAGTCAAAAAATGGGCAGAAGAGCTAAAAAGAAACTTCTCTGAAGAAGAAATGCAAATGGCCAACAGGCATATGAAAAAAATGTTCAACATCACTTGTCATCAGGGAAATGCAAATTAAAACTACCATGAGATACCATCTTACACCAGTGAGAATGGCACATATTAAAAAAAACTAGCAGCAACAAATGTTGGTGAGGATGTGTAGAAAAAGGAACTCTTCTGCACTGTTGGTGGGAGTACAAACTGGTCCAACCACTATGGAGAGCTGTGTGGAGATTTCTGGACCTACTAAACATAGAGCTTCCATATGATCCAGCAATTCCACTCCTAGCTATTTACCCAAAGGACACAGAAACATCAATTCCAAAGAGCACCTGCACCCCTATGTTTATAGCAGCACTATTTACAATAGCTAAGCTTTGGAAACAACCCAAATGCCCAAAAATAGATGACTGGATCAAGAAGATGTGGTACATATACACCATGGAATATTACTCAGCATTCAAAAAAGATAAATGCATGCAATTTGCAGCAAAATGGATGGCGCTGGAAGGGATCATGCTCAGCGAAATAAGCCAGAAAGAAAAAGAAAAATACTGGATGGTCTCACTCATAGCAGGAATCTAGAAAACTTAAATAAGAAACCAGGAAAATGAATAACTATAAGAAAGTGAAAATCAAAATCAACAAACAACTATGAACCAGAGACACTCTATGGGTGGTGGGGGGCGGGGAGGGGAGGGATTGGGGTCAAAACAAGGGGATTCCAATTGTATGGGGAATACAAAAATAAAATTTATTTAAAAAATAAAATAAAATAAAATACAGATTTTGTTAAATCTGAGACATGTGCCATGTTATAATAAAAAAAAAAAGAATATAAGTTGCCTGTACCCTTATGTTTATTGCAACACTATTTACAATAGGTAAAACCTGGAAACAACCCAAATGCCCAAAGAATAGATGACTGGATAGAGAAGATGTGGCATATATACACACTGGAATATTATTCAGCAATCAAAAAAGATAAACTCATGCCATTCACAGCAATGTGGATGGAACTAGAAGGAATTACGCTCATTGAAATAAGTCAGAATGAAAAAGAAAAATATCAGATGGTTTCACTTATATCAGGAATATAGGAGAACCAAATAAGACATCAGTGTAAAAAAATAATAACAGTACAAACACAACAAAGCAAAAACGGACAATTATAAATCAGAGACATAATGCAGGGGAGGACGAGAGAGAGGCATCGAGGGATTGAGGGAGGAGCAGGGGACTGAGGTGATGGTGCATGGGTGCACTGGTGAAGGAAACTCTATGGGGACTACACCTGAGGGGTTGGGGGGAAGCAATAGTGTTTAAAAATGAACAATGATGTAAAAAAATAATAATAATTTTAAAAAATAATAAAAAACTAAAAAGAAAGAAAAGAAAGAATATAGGTTGTAAAAGAAAAAAACAAAAAAACACAACATAGATTTTGGATAGCTAAATGAGACCTGAGAGCCACATCAATCAATTTAATACATGGGTCTTATTTGGACCCTGATATTTTTAATGAAATAATGGGAAAATATGACTAGATAGTTAGGGATCTTAAGGGATTGCTATTTTGTTTTCTTTCAGGTTTGACAATGGTATTCTCATTTTAGTTTAAAAAGAGTCATCATCTATTATAGATATATACTGAAACATTTGTGGCTGAAACACATGATGTCTGGGTTATTGGAGTGGGTATAAATGAAACAAAATTTGGCATGTTGTGGTAAATGTTGGAACTGGGTGACAGGTACATGAGAAGTACTTAAATTTTTTTAAACGTATGTTTACATATAAAGCAATCCATAATAAGATGTTAAACAAAAATTCAAGTTCCAGAGCTAAGTGTCCAGTTATGAATCTCAGTTCTGTTTCTGACCAACTGTGGGGCCTTAGCCAAGTTTATAATCTCATTGTATCTCAAAATTTTCTCCTTAATAAAATAGGAAAAATAAAAGTATCTCATAAGGTTGTGGAAAGGATTACATGGGATGGTATACTTATTTTAGTACTTGGTACATAATAAACACTGAATGATTGAAAGTTATTTTTTTACTATTATGCCCCATGTGAGCAGTGAGGCAAGAGTTTCCTTGTGGGAAGGAAGGGCTAAGTCTTGCTGCAAAAGTTTCCCCCTCAGAGAGTTTTCTTCTTCTTAGAAACCTGGCACTGATCACTGTTGCCACTACCATTGGGATCAAGGCCATGAGAAGTTTCCCTATAGTTCCCTACTCTGGTCCATGGGTAGATATATGACTCTGCTTTTATTAACCCTAGCATGATTGCCATCATATTAGTCAAGAATTAGCAAAGGCACACCAATGATAGTAGAGACATAAGCACAAAGAGTGTCAAGTAACTGGACAACATGCTTCCAGGACATGTGTAATGACAGAGGGTATCTTAAGACGTCCAACAATCAAGAGTAACTTCAAGCACATCTAGCCTCTCAAAATAATGAAGGACCAGGGGCACAGATGCCTTCTTTTACATGTTTTAGGTCCAACATCTCAGTTATATGTTTCTATCTGAAGTTTCTTCTGATGAAGAGACCCTAGAAAATTTCATCCCTACTCTTCTTTAGGAGAAACAAGAAAGGTCAGCTCTGCCCTACAGGTCAAGACAGTATCATTATCATATCAAATAAGTATGATGTATGATCTTCATAAATATGATATGCATACACAGTCTCAGAGAAGCCACAATGTTTTACATGGGAAAAGATGTTTTCCTAACTTGGAGAAATGGCAGATGGAATGATAGCAGTAATGGGGACTTGGAACTAGGTCCCTCTGCCAGGTGAACCATTTCCAGGTTCTGGGGTCTGGTAAATAATAATGATAAAATGGTAATGCAATGTAATAATAATAATGGTAACTATAATAGTGGTAATGATAACAGATTTGTGCCAGATTTTGTTCTAAGTGCTTTACATGGATTATTTTACATAATTTCAAAATTATTCTATAAAGTAGTAAACTCTTATTAGTTTCATTTTACAGATAAGGAATTTAAGGCACTGAGATATTCAATGTATTACAAAACTAATGCAGCAGAGCCAGCTTTCAAAACTTGGAAGTATATTTTCAGAGTCCACACTCTGATAAGAGAGTTTATTGCTCCTCTCAGGAAATAAGAGTTCAGCATCATCCCCTTTCCCTAACCAGCCATCCGTTTTCATAGTAAAACATGGACAAGCTCTGGAAAATGGAGAGAACTGGGAATGAGTTGGTATTATAGAGGCCTCACAAATGAGTAAGTAGCCAATTCTTAAACTCCTATGTGTTGATAGTGGTAGGGGAGAGATTTGCAAAGTTACACACTAGTCCAGCAGAAGAAAGAGATTATAGGAAAGAGATTATAAGTAAAATCATTCAAATAAGTGTTATGAGGATGACAGTGCTAATTCTGTTTGGAGGGACAAGAGACAATCATGTAAATGAGGTAAAATTGAGCTGGGCCTTGAAGGACTATAGTAGGTAGGAAAAGAGGGAAAGGACATTTCAGACAGAGAACAATTTG